TTTATATTTTAAAAATATCTTTAATATCTGACTTAACAAAAGACAGCTGGATTCTCATATCTACTTCAGTATTCCAGCTGTTGGAATGTGTTGTTTTGAATGAAGTATATGGAGAAAATCTGGCCTCACAAAGATACACAGTTGGAAAAAGGAATATTTTAATAGCCTTTCAGACAGTTATGGATATTTTTCTTTGATACTGTACCAAAACTCAACAAGTGGTAATTTCTTAATGTGGAATATGAAACCACATTAATGAACTTAAAACATACTGCTCTGTCAACATGCTTTGAATAGATCTTGATTCCATGTATGATTTTGCTATATCACGCATTGCTTCCTTGGAAAAATTTGGTTCACTGAATTATTTTCTTTCAAATGTTGATGTATTTTGTTATTCAGTATCAAACATCACTTGCATTAGTATCTCCAATCAAAACAAGTTTTTAAGGATTGGGAAACAGTGATAGATACAAGTTTTCTAAAATTTGACTTTTTGCTTGAAAGCTTGAATTTATCATTGTCAACAAATATTTTGAGTTGTATCCTTGAAGTGTCAGGCTCAATACATTCATTATTGAGAGAAATTCTGCCAAAATACTCAAATAATTGCACGAATATTTTTTTCTCAAGACAGTATTGTAGCTTGATATGCAACAGAAGTGTTTCATGCATACTTCCCATTTAACGTTAAGACATGTACTTAGGGTTGAGATTTAATAAAATGAATGATTTTCACCTCCTCCTCAGGTCATTCGTATGTAAAACTGGCTCTTTCCCCTCACTTCTCCGTTGGGTCTCCTGTCTTGATTTGTGCTAAGACACCAGTAGTTTTACACCATCTTGCACCATCAGTGCAAATACATACACTGCAAAAAAGACAAATAATGTCTTATTATTATTATGAAAATAGATTTGACCTCACAGATTCCAAAACAGTTTTCGGGACCCACCAAGATTCTGTAGATCATACTTCACAAACCACTGTTTCAGATGAAACCTTTTGAAAATATCAGTTATAGTCAAACTAATTTTAGTACTCATTTTGAAACTACAGTTATTTATTTAACCAACCAAGTTTGAGATGCTACTTGCAAAACATAAAGCTAAAATTAAAGAGCAAATCAATGTATCTATCCCCATGCAACAGGATCTAGAAAGGAGAAATGAAGAACTTGAAGAACTTTATTTATTAGAGGGTTGTTTTCCTGAAGCAGAGAAATTGAAACGAGATACTAGATTGCTTTCTCAGGTAAGACTGATTTCTTTCTTTCTTTTTATTTTAAGCTAATATACTTTGTCACCACAAGAGAGAATTGTGGTCCAACATCTATTTTGATCCCAAGAAACTTTAAATTTATTTATTTATTTTTTTAAAAA